AAAAACCGCGTTTTAAACTAGTTTGAACTCGATCCAGAAAATTTAAAATGTGATTTACTCCATTATTATCAGTCGTAAAGARTTGAAACAAACGGTAATAAATTCTGTAGGAAATTCTCTAACGACGCTACACTTTGATTAAGAAATATTGCGCCCACGTTAGCGTGAACATAAAAATAAAAACCATAACTTCCTSTTTATTTTGTTTATTTTTCCTTTTTAATGAATACGAGACGATGTGAATATTTTGTGATGATTGYGCGACGCAGAAAGCCAAAAATCGCGTTTTAAACTAGTTTGAACTTGATCCAGAAAATTTTAAATGTGTTATTATCAGTTGTAAAAACTTTCCTTTTTTAATGAATACGAAACAATTTAAGAAAGGCGTGGTAAAAATTTCGTGATGATTGGGCGACGCAGAATTGTATTTTGAACAAGTTTAAACCCGATCCAGAAGTTCCTATTTGACACAGGAGRTAAAACAAGACAAGATTCAACTTCAGTTTTGATGGGAAGGTTTAGATCTTATTAAAGCGTGAATAAAGTTTCGTAGCAATTGGACATCGCAGAGAGCCATGATTTAAACTAATTTGAACTTGATCCAGAAAATTTAAAATGTGATTTACTCCATTATTATCGGTCGTAAAGACTTGAAACAAACGGTAATAAATTCTGTAGTAAATTCTCTAACGACGCTACACTTTGAMTAAGAAATATTGCGCCCACGTTAGCGTGAACACAAAAATAACCATGACTGTTTATTTTGTTTCTTTTTCCTTTTTTAATGAATACGAGACAATTTAAGGAAAATGTGGTGAAAATTTTGTGATGATTGGGCGAAGCAGAGAGTGACAGATCARGTTTTAAACTAGTTTGAACACGATCCAGAAAATTTAAAATGTGATTTACTCTGTGATTAGCGGTCGTAAAGACTTGAAACAAACGGCAATAAATTCTGCAATAAATTCTCTAACGAAGTCATGCTTTGATTCAGAAATATTTAGTCCACGTTAGCGTGAACATAAAAACAATAACCATAACTTCCTGTTTATTTTTCCTTTTTAATAAATACGAGACGATTTAAGGAAGGTATGGTAAAAATTGTAACGATTAAGCGACACAGAATCGCATTTTGAACAAGTTTAAACACAATCCAGAAGTTCCTATTTGACACAGGAGATAAAACAAGACAAGACTCAACTTCAGTTCTAATGGGAAGGTTTAGATCTCATTAAAGCGTGAATAAAGTTTCGTAGCAATTGGACGTCACAGAGAATCACAAATCACGATTTAAACTACTTTGAACTTGATCCAGAAAATTTAAACTGTGATTTGCTCCATTATTATCAGTCGTAAAGACATGAAACAAACGGTAATCAACTCTGTAGTAAATTCTCTAACGACGCAACACTTTGATTAAGAAATATTACGGCCACGTTAGCGTGACCACACTATTAAGATGTGTCAGAAGATGTCATGTTGTAATAATTGCATTGGGACGTCCCTCCCTAATCTCCCCGATAATCACCTCGGAAAAGGGATAATCCAGACTGCCATAGAAATCCCTCTCAAACTCGTACTTGTTGTCCCACATCCTATCCTTGATCTCGAAATTGCACAAATGATTGCACTTATCCAGCAGCCCTCCCTCGGGACACTTCTCCATCTCCTCCACCTGTCTGACAAAACTGCACCTCCTTTCCAGCCTCCCATCTCCTTCGGGAATGAAGATTTGCGGGAGTTGGAGTGAGGGTGAAGCCGAGACGTGGTTCTCCACGAGGGAGGGCCGACTTTGGACCGGAATCGAGATGGAGGGGCTCTCCTTGAGACGGCTCTTCGGCGGCTCCTTGAGGTGGTAGTTGGAGGCGGAGTGGCGCCGCTCGTGGGGCCCCACCTGCGGCGGACGCAACGCCCCACGCTCCACCCGCGATAGCTTCGGGGGCCCCCCATCGTCCGTATAGTTGTGGTACTGCTTCGGCTGGTGCGGTTTGAGCTCCTTCTGGTTCTTGAGCTGCTGGAGCTGCTTTTGGCGCTGCCGTTGGCGGGCCTGGCGGGAGGCGAGCGAAGCGCCCCCTGCTGCCGCGTACATGGTCTTAATGACGGGCGAGGGCGGGGCCCGGGAGGGGCGGGGGCAGGAACTGGGGCTTCAGTTTGACTTTCAAGTGCCGGAGCACTTTTTGATTCACCGATAAATTGAACATCGTTTCATAAAATTACTACAAAATATTCGTTTACAAAATATTGTTGATTCGAATCTATCAGGGACTAGTCTAAACATTTTTCACTAAATCGTATAACAAATAACAAATAATTCGGCGTTTAGAACTAACATTAGGCTTCAACTCGTTTATTTATGTTACAATAATCACTAATTTTAAATTGATATTGTCTTTTATTAGTTTCATAGAGCCAATAAACGTTTCGTATTGCTTTTGGATTGCTTCCTCTCGGCCAATTAGAAATGAACACATCGTTCAGAGAGGAAGGGAGGCCGGTGATTTTATTGGAACAAATCAAATAATAGGCGGGGCTAAATCAAGCGGGTAATTTAAATCCATTGTTACGATTAGGGAAAACAGAATAGAAAATAAGAGGGAATTTCGATGAAGGTAAGCATGACGACGCCACTGAAAAGAATTTTTCTTTAGTCAAAACATATACAACGACGAGAAAAGGCTTCTCCTTGAAATCTAAGCTCAAAACCAAATCAAATAAGCTTCCATTACGTCAGGTGATTCGATATTTTATTATCTAATAACAGAAATTTGCTTCATTGAGAGGAAATTTTGTAGGGCCGCAAATCACGTTTTGAATAAATTTAAACTCTATCCAGAAAAGATGAAACGTGATTTGCTCCCTTATTTGTGCGCTAAACAAATTCAATTAGACGCGATTTAATTCGCACTTGCGTTGGAATCACTAATTAAGTGAAAAATCGAGTTTTAAACTAGTTTGAACTCATTTCAGATGAGAACTGTGAGCCAAAACAGATTCTTTATTTCATTTATTTGCTTTAATTAGAATTTGTAAGCTTCAAATTTGTTTTTTTATTATTACATATGTATAAACAAAATTTAAGAAAAATCACTATTTTGAGAAAATTTATATTTGTTGGACTTTAAACTTTTTTGCAATAAATTTTTTGTTTTTCTCCTTTTAGAAATCTAATTGCTGACGGTTTTTGCCAAATTCATTGCATAAAAAAATTTCAGTTTTATTTTTTTTGGGGTTTTTTAATTTTTAATACTGATTAAATGTTTCACTATTTTGGGGAAATTTGTTTGTTGAGCTTTTTTGGTTTGTTTATAAATCTTTCGTTTTTTTTCCTTTTAGAAATTTCATTATAGTGCAAATTCCTGCCAGTTTTTGGAAATTCATTGCATAAACCACAGGGCCGGACTATGGAGAAAAAATTTCTTTTTTATACAATTTTTTTGGTAATTCTAAACATTTATTTAATAAAAATTTGTAAGTTTCAAATTTGGTTTTTTATTATTATAAATCATATTTAAATTTTCAAATTACTCCTTCGGGGAATTGTTGAGTTTTTTTTTTGAGTTTCTTTGGTGATAAATTTTTGTTTTTCTAATTTTAGAAATTTCATTATAATGCAAATTCCTGTGTTTCCTAGTGTTTCTCAAATTCATAAATTTATTACATAAACCACAGGACCGGACTGTGGCCCAAAAACTTCAGATTTTTTTGTTTTTTTTTATTTTTAATTCTGAATAAACATTCAATCAAACTTCTAATTTGATTTTTTTATTATTATATACAAAATTTAGATTTGAAAATCACTATTTTAGGGTAATTTATATGTTTATTGAGCTTTTTTTGGTTTGTTTTATGATAAATTTTTGGTTTTTTTCGTTTTTCTCCTTTTAGAAATTAAATAATAAGTATGATGCAAATTCCCGTAAGTTTTTGCCAAATTCATTACATAAATCACAGGACCGGACTGTGGACAAAAAACATCTTTTTTATATCATTTTTTGGCATTTTCAATTTCTAATTCTAAACAAATATTAATAAAAATTTTCAAATTTGATTTTTTATTATTATAAATCAAATTCAAATTTTAAAATTACTTCTTTGGGGTAATTTATCTTTGTTGAGTTTCTTGGGTGATAAATTTTTGTTTTTCTAATTTTAGAAATTTAATTACGATACAAATTCCTGCTAGTATTTCTCAAATTCATAAATTTATTACATAAACCACAGGACCGGACTGTGCCCAAAAACTTCAGATTTTTTAATTCTTTTGTTTTTTTTTTAATTTTTAATTCAAAATAAACATTTAATCAAAATTTGAAGCTTCTAATTTGATTTTTCATTATTATAAAAAAATTAGATTTGAAAATCACTATTTTAGGGTAATTTATATGTTTATTGAGCTCTTTTTGGTTTGTTTTGTGATAAATTTTTGTTTGTTTTCGTTTTAAAAATTTAATTATGATGCAAATTCCTGCTAGTTTTTCTCAAATTCATAAATTTATTACATTATGGACTGTGGTCCAAAAACTTCAATTTTTTTATTTCAATTCTTAATTCCAAATAAACATTTAATTAAAATTGTTCCCTTATTTGTGCGCTAAACAAATTAAATTAGACTCGATTTAATTCGCACTTCTCCGAATTACTAACTAAGTAAAAATTCAGATGATTTAAAACGTGATTTCTGAGTTAAAAAGTCTTGAAAAGGGACAATTCCGGCCTTATTAAGGCATGAAATAGATTTATTTGTCGCAAAGACACAGTTAAACAAAAGAAAATAGAAGTATTAGACTTTTCTAATTTTTTTAAAGTGGGATAAATACTTGAACATCCTCACTTTTCTACCCACCCACTGAATATTTATCGTTCCCGAAAACGCAGCTATTTATCATTCGGTTCTGACGGTCGGCAAATGGTCACTAGGGACCACTCCTCGCTCGTAAGCATCGAAATATCCCTAATAGTGAAAAACCTCAAACCACCTTCAGATTCTTCATCGTTTCTGTCAACATGTTTATAAAACAGCCACAAATGTGATTCCTGTCGCATTTCCATCATCTCCAAACATATCAATATCATATTTGTGTTGACGCAAATAAGAAAATCAAACCGAGAGACGAATTCGATTTCCGCGGATGTGTTTGCGGCGACCTACTACCCTTTGACATTCTTAGCACTTGCTCGCCCCTTCTGTTTGCTATTCCATCGAAAAAGTTTAAAGATGACGACGCTTTGTGGCGCTTAAACACGCCTTTTGGACGAGTTGTTGCATGATGCCGGGACGCACGCGAGTTGAATTACACTCCTATTAATTAAAATTAGGGCGGTGTGGCGGAATTCCTTCGATATGTTGGCGAAATTTTGCGATTTTTTGGGTTAAATTGTCTTGAAGTCGACAAAATCTGAGGCGAGCGGCAAAGCCGCTCGCCCCACTTTCAATAAAATTCCACCAATGTGATTTTGACAATTTTTTGGCTTGAATTCTGATGGCGAGCGGCAAAGCCGCGAGCCCCCTTTCGACATAATTTTTCGAATTGGTTGTGAATTTTCCGAAGGATTAGTGATTTGCGCTTCAAACTCAATTAAAACGCCATACGCACGTTGAAATCCAATTAGACGCGACGTTTTACGAATAAATAATGTGTGATCGATGAAATTTTCATCGTTCGGATTAAATGAAGGTAGAATGACCTGCTTTCGACCGGCAAATTCGTTATTTCTTATTCTGTGCTGCGCACTCATCAAATATTTAACAGGAATAGCATTAGAAACATCAATATTTGTGTGGAAGGAAAAAATGGTTAATGTTTCGAACAAGACTCAAATCGATGCAAATGCTAATAGCCAACAAAGCAGATATTTTATTATCGCAAGATAATACATATAGCGATAATTTTATTATTATTAACTGTGCTCGCATAAGTACAAAATTTCAGTAAAAAAAAATACAACTATTTTTTTAAAACCATGGAAATATGGATGTAATGCATTCGACATTGCCCCTCCGTAGAGATTCATCATATCGAAATAAAAAAATTATGTTCGAACAAACTTTATTAGGGAGTAAAAATCATGATATATGAACGTCGACGTCCATCTTGAACGTGATTTATCATCCAAGATTTATTTTTTACCAAATTGTGAGATAAGCGACCATTTTTCCTAATTTTCAGACAATCTTTATTGATGTGCCACCTTGATTCACAAAATTACACGCCAAGTTAAAAGTTTAAAAGTGGTCACAAATCTGTCAAAATCACCACTTCCAGTGTGGAATCACCCCCAAAACGAGCAAGAGTGACTTTTTCGAAGATTTCGTGTATTTCCTTGCGATATAATCGACACGAACCGTCGACATGCAAACAATTTCAGTGACCTATCGACGGTAAGAATCAAGCAACGGAACGAATTTTACCATTTAATTCACATTTACGACACTCGCGGACACCGTTTAAAGGTCGAAACGTCGATCAACAGACCATTAGGTCGCGAAAATTGTTTACTTCGCCACCGAATCGATACTTCAACTCTACGGGAAAAAACACAAGCCGGGGTGTAATTCCCCGAATACGTTTTAATATTTATCAAGTCGGCTTTGCTCTTAATTAGGCCCTGCATAAATGCAACACGAAATATTTCAGTTTTTACAAAAGTAAATATTTTATTAAATAATCGAAGACGGCAGGGATGGAAAGGCGAGATTCAACCACCAATCATATCTCTTATTCATTTCACAGATCGGTTAAAATTCACAAGATGGCGCAATAAAAATGCGGGAAATAATCAGGTTTAAGTTGGCAACGCGTTCGAATCTCATTTCGATACTGGTTTTCAGTTGGAAAGTTATTATTTGTTAAAATTTTATTTGTTTTCTAGATAACTAGATTTATTTATTAATTAACACACTTCTAAATCTGAATAAATGACTAATTAAAAATCGTAAGCTTCAAATTTGATTTTTATTATTATTAACCAAATTTAAATTTGAAAATCACTATTTTGGGGTAATTTATGATTACTGAACTTTTTTTGGTTTGTTTTGTAATAAATTTTTTGTTTTTTGGTTTTTCTCATTTTAGAAATCTAATTCCTGACGGTTTTTGCCAAACTCATTGCATAAAAAAATTTCAGTTTCGTTTTTTTTGGGGGTTTTTTAATTTGTGATGCTGAATAAATGTTTCACTATTTTGGGGAAATTTGTTTGTTGAGCTTTTTTGACTTGTTTATAAATTCTGTTTTTTTTTCCTTTTAGAAATTTCATTATAGTGCAAATTCCTGCCAGTTTTTATCAAATTCATTGCAAAAACGACAGGACCGTACTATGGACAAAAACTTCTTTTTTCTATAATTTTTTTGGTATTTTAAATTTCTAATTTTAAACAAATATTTCATCAAAATGTGTAAGTTTTAAATTTGGTTTTTATTATTATAAATCAAATTTAAATTTTAAAATTACTATTTTGAGGTAATTTATTAGTTTGTTTTGTGATAATTTTTTTTCTCTTTTTGGAAATGTAATTATGATGAAAATTTTTGCCAGTTTTTCTCAAATTCATAGCATAAACCACAGCACTAGACTATTGCCCAAAAACTTCAGATTTTTAATTTCATTTTTTTTGTTTTTTTAATTTTT